GCTCACTCTCTCACTGCTATGACACAGAAGCGACCAAGATCTCACGTCAGTTTTTTTGACGGTTTCTTTTCATTTTTTCCTTTCTGCAGGCTCACCTTCCATGCTTTTAATGTACAAGAACCACACCAGTTTGATCTTGGAGTATGCTTTAACGGCCTTAAAAAACACCACATTTTCTTGTTATTCAATTTAGTTATATCTTTTCTTCTGTGCTTTTCTGTGTTACTGGATAGAGCAACAGGAAGAGAGCTTTTGGCGAAAAATGACAGTCCGTGGATCCATAATTTGAATTCGAGTATCAGTTTTTTGCTGAGAGCAGGCTTTCTAGCGATCGCGACATGAAGCTTCTTATCAAATTCGCTAATAATAACTGAATCATGAAAGGGGTAGCGAAAGTAGGACTTTAGGACTCATTTTCCTCTAGTTTATTTTGCTCAAAAAACTTCACATAGCCAAAGTGAACGCATATAAAAGTGAATTCGCAAGTAAAGTACTTAAAGGTGTTACCACAAGCAGCCGAGTTGTGATCAAAACATATGGCCTTCAGAAAAAAACTCCCACTTTATGCATTCTGATCAATGACCCTATTACATCAAAATACTTGCAGATGTAACTCTCGTATGACGGTCACATTTACACGGCCTTCCCTTTTTCTAGGCCCGGTACAATTCAACCGATCGGCTTGCAATCCAAAAAGTAGGAAGAACTTGACGTTTTTCTGTCGTACAGGTTGCCACGGTGGAAATTGAACAACTCGTCTTCTGGACCTCTACAGCTCCGCCAGCGCCACGTATCCGCCCAATTCCATAAAATTTTGTCTCGGTTTCGAGGATGTGCGGGCTGGGACAAGATCGTGGCCCCATGTCAGGTAGGGGGACCAATTTTTCCGTAGCTCTGAGGTCCGCTTATTAGTAGCGGAGTTGTCTCTAAAAACAAAAACATTAGATCATACAGTGCCCGGTCCCATCACGGATATACACCGACTATGCACTCGAAAGCTGCCACAATCCTGGGTGGAACTCGAATGTGCGGCGCACTCCAAAAAAAATCCTGGTTACCGGAACGTGATTCATCTTTCATGACTCATTTTAATTATTTTATTTTAATTCCCTGAGAACTTAATTCCACACTAAGCACTCGACCTAAGGTGATTTCAGCATTTTTATTTCGAAACCACCCAAAGGCACATTGAACGATTGAGTCAGGTATATGAGGCTTCTCCGTGTAAAATAGAATTACTCATAAAGCTTCAAAAGTGCCTTTATCATAGCCCTAACTCAGTAATGTGGAAGTGAGGGAAAGTCACTCACGCAGAAACCGCCAGCGGATTTTATTCACAAC